TGTCCAAACTAGAAAGATTATATTTTCTCTTGAGACTCCTCCCATGTACTAGGGACACTGGGGCTAGCTACCTGATGATATGCAATCAACCATTAACAGCTCACATGCAAGGACTCCCACTGTCTACTCATTGCTGCATTTTCCTCTCTTGTTTCACCTCTAAATGACCAGTCCCAATCCCCGGTTGCTGAGACGCAGAACCGGGCTCTAATCCCTGCTCCTCCCTTCACTTCCTTACCCTTGTTTGTCTGGTAGTTTTGTTCTCCACTCCACGCGCAGTCCTTCTCTGCATCCGCAAGGTGCCCTCTCTAGTCCAGCCATCTATCACAACCTCCTGGCTGGACTCTTCTGATCAGACGGTATTGAAATGCATTCATTCTTTGCAGGACAAGCTGGGCGATGTTTCTAATGGGCAGGAGACGTCCAGTACCAGGACCGCTCATAAGGTCTACAAGGCAAAGGTGAAACTGAGCATGGAATACTCTTGGATCCAGCTTCACCTTCTCTCCTCTGACCTTTCTTAGGGACTCTGTTTTCTAGGTTACGATTCTCGACAGGCTGTTCTCTTTGCTCAAATGCCTCTCTGGCACACAGGCAAACTCAATTTCATTTTCCAAGTTTCAGCACAGGCTCCTCCCCTCTTTTCAGCTTTTGCCAAGTGCAGGCCTCCCTGAGTGTTTCCACATCTGGACCCAAGCCGTTTCTTTCTGCTCTCTCACAACTGGAGTCCTTCACCGGCTCATGGAGTCACCCATGTTTATGGAGCTGGTGCTGGAGACGGGTGGGCAGCTCACGAAGCATGGTTCTCGGCCTAGCAGAAAATTGCCTGCAACTGTTGGCCTGTCTTGTTCAGTGAGCCTTGACTGAATGCCAGATCACCTTGTTCTTATGCACTGCCTGGCCTTTCCCCTGCTCTTCTCTTGGCTTCTCCTCACAAGTCATAAGGAGTCTAGTCCCTTCTGGCTCCATGCCCCTCTATCTCTTGAGCTGGATTTGAGGTCTCACAAGATAGGAGGAGCTCAGTCTTGTCTGATGGTGGAACGTAGGTTTTACACAGAGAAACGGATGTAGAAATAGGAAGGACTGGTCCCAAGCATGGATATCTTTCACTGTAGGCCCAATCATTACAGCCATAGAAGTTATAGTATGGAATGGAGAGGGACAACTTGGAGACAGCATTACAGCTCACAAGCAGCCGCGGAGTGAAGCGGAAAGGAGCTAATGCCATGGTGGAGACAGCCTGTTCTCTCACATGGAAAGGGTGCTCCAGTCTGCCCTTCTTCATGTTTCTGAGCCCCTGGAAGATTATTTAAGAAACTAATCTTCATGTCATGAAGAGATATTTAAGATGTAGCCATTCCTTTGGCTTCACGTTAGTCTACTTACCTTCTAAAAAAGATTTTAACTGATAGAGTCCTTGTCCAGCCTGCATGAAGTTCTGAGTTTAAATCCCAATAAACACTAAGGAAGGAAGGAAAGAAGGAAGGAAGGAAGGAAGGAAGGAAGGAAGGAAGGAAGGAAGGGAAGAGAGTGGCTGAAGGTTAAGGAGCATGCTACCAAGTCTAATGACTTGAGTTCAGTCATGCTGGAACGAGAGATCCAACTCCTACAAGTTGCCCTCTGACCTTCACATACGTTCTATGGCCTGTGTACATAAATAAATATATAAATATAATCAAAACTTTTTTCTTCTTCATTTTTTGTTTATTTGTTTTCTTCAAGACAGAGTTTCTCTGTGTAGCCCTGTCCTGGAACCCACTCTGTAGATCAGGCTGGCCTTAAACTCAGAGATCTACCTGATTAAGGGTGTGTACCACCACATCCAGTTTTAAACCCTTCATTTTGTAACTAAATGTAATTCTATGGTGATGCACACCTTTAATCCCAGCACTGAGGAGGATCTCCTATGAGTGTGAGGTCAACCTGGTCTACACAGAGAAATCCTGTTTCAGAAACAAATGTACAAGTATGTAACACAAGGGGGCTGGAATGGTGATGCTATTTTTTTTCTTTAAAAAAGAAAGAAAGAAAAAGATTGATAAACTGATTCAGAACATGAAAGGCAGTTCCTGCTAACGCTGACTTCTTCAGTCTGAAACCAGGGACCTACCCACATGAAGGGACGAGAGAACATCCCCTCCACAAACTTGTTCTCTCACCTCCAGACCAGAAAATCTGCACACATCTATACACACACACACATAAATACGTGTTTAAAAATTAAAGTCAAGCCAGGTGGAGGTGGCGCACACCTTTAATCCCAGCACTTGGGAGGCAGAGGCAGGCAGATCTCTGAAAATTCGAGACCAGTCTGATCTACAAGAGCTAGTTCCAGGACAGGCTCCAAAGCAACACAGAAACCCTGAACCAAAAAAAACAAAATAAAATAAAATAAAAATAAAAAAATAAAGTCGAATAGTATAAACACTGCATTTAAAAATAGTTTGAGATAATGACATGAAAGAGAAAGATAAAGTTATTTTTGCCTTATCAACCTCAACCATGCATCAGTTCATTTGTCTACATCGTCTGTCTGTGCCTGAACTAATTTCTAGAATTTGTTAAATGTTCTGAAAGCTACCCCTAGTTGATAGTTTACTTTTTCTGTGTTTTTGTGTAATTTAAATATTTTAGTTTGTATATAGCATCACTATTGTAAGAAGAAATTTTCCTTTAAAATTGTTATTCATTCATTTATTTGTTTGTTTGTTTTAGAGACAGGATCTAATGTATACAAGGCTGGCCTCCAAGTCCACGGAGCAGAAGACAACCTTGAACTTCTGATCCTCCTGTCTCCTGTGCCACCGCATCTGAGTTTATGTGGTGCTTGGGATCAAACTCAGGGTTTGAGCATGCTATTACTCCATCTCTGTCCTGAAAGTGACTTTAGAACAAAATTAGAAGCAGATACATTGCAATATTTGTTCTGGATAGTAGTGCTATTAAAAATAGTTTCTTCTGTGCAATTTTACTAGGAAAAAATTTTTTAAGTTTTCCATAAAAGGAACTTTATAAAAGAAAAAAAAATAGGAGTCTAAGATTAGCATAGCAGAATTCAGTCCAGAGAAGGACAAATGGGTTCAAGGTCAAAGGTGAATAAGCCTGGGTGAAAGTCTTCAGTCCTGAGGGGCTCTAGTGTACAGGGCTAACCGAAGGACCAGGCAGCATCTGCAAGATTTTGGTACTGACATTGCCCTTGAAAACTGGGCCTCAGAGCCTTTGGTTACAGCTTTCCAATGTCGCAGCAGGTGGCTTGGTAAATGCTGGAAGCTTCGAAAGTGCCTAGGGCACTCTATGTAGCCGCTGAACTTCAGGACCATCTTCGTTCTCTAGTCGAAGAGGTAGTGGATAACCTTAACCCAGGGATCTGCTCAGCCGCGCACAGAGTGGCAATGAAGACGCCCCAGCGCGGTTATTCGCGCATATCGTACTGGCTCACATGAGAACGATGAATTTTCTTTTCAACGGACAAATGTTCGTGTGGCTAAGAAGTCACGAAAAGAGAGGAGATTGAAGGCAACCCAGAGGAACAGAGGAGACAGACTCTCTAAGAGGTTGGAGTAAAGTGAAATCCTGTCCTGGGTGAAGAGTGGGCCCTTATCCCTTTCCACAGCTAATGGTATCATTTAGTCATGAGTACTGCTTTTCACCGGACTCAGGTTTCCGTCTACGGTCTGCTTCAATCTCATCTGTCATTCCCCTCCCCGGCTGTAGCACGGTACCACTCTGGGCAGAATGGAAGTAGTATCTTGCACCCGTTCGGTCTCGAATTTAATAAAGAGAAAACAAAGTACACGCGTGCCACCCACATCAGCCTTCTTTCTTTGGAGAGGCGTTTGGACATCCCAGAGGTTAGTTTAACGCCCTGTGTGGGCGAAGTGTGGAGGATGCTGCATAGACAGGTGGTCCTCTCTCAGCTCAGGTTCGCTTGGTGCGTGCGTCCTTCTCGTCAGACCTGCAGATGGTGGTACCCAGGGTTGCTCGCAGGTTATGGGATAGAACAGAGTCAGGGGTCTTCTGTGGGAATTGGTGATTTCATTTCCAAGCATCTTGGGTTTTTTTTAATTAACAGGAATTTCCTTTTCTATCTGAAAAGTAGGAAGACTGCTAGCGGTCAAGGTGAAGGGGGATGGGGTGTCTGCTCTGGAGAGGAACAGCGGGAGGGAAGCCAGCTGACATCGCCTGAATGTACCCGTTGGCTGCGTGAGATGAGGGTATGAGTGTAGCCAGAACCCCCAGAACCCCCAGCCCAGGGCGGCCAGAATGTGTTCTCTATTAGAGCCATCTGGGCACTAGGCAGCCTTAGTGGCATGCCGGTCTCCGTTGGGTCCTCCTTTCAGGCGTGGTGCCTTCTTTTCCTGGGATAGCAAGCAGAGGGGTGAGCAGGACCCCGCAGGTCGGGGACCTTCAGGCACCAGGAGACCCAGGACACACGCGGCTAGCCCGGTGGGGGGGGGGGCGGCTTCTCCCCCCCCCCCCCCCCCCCGCGGTCGGGAGCGAGCCGCCGTGACGTCACGGGCCACCCGCC